GAGCCGCCAACCCGGGATCCCACAGGCACTCTGGGCCCTCCAAGGGGACCTGGAGATGCCTAGTTAGACCTTGGAGTACAAGAGTCGAACATGGGGCTCTTGGTGGTAGGGTTTAGGGTTTAGGGTTTAGGGTTTAGGGTTTAGGGTTTAGGGTTTAGGGCTTAGGGCTTAGGGCTTAGGGCTTAGGGCTTAGGGCTTAGGGTTTAGGGTTTAGGGTTTAGGGTTTAGGGTTTAGGGTCTAGGGTTCAGGGTCTAGGGTTTAGGGTTCAGGGAGGTATAGGAGTCCAGGGCTTGGGGGCCTCTACACAAAACTGTTTGAATGAACCTTTGAGGATCACAACAACATTGTGGTAACGATTGACTCAGCGGGTTTTTAACCGTGAAGCGACTGCCGCTCGTGGGCCACCTGGTTCTCGACATGCTAAACTATACTGAACTTGGAACCCTATTAAAAATTGTAGTTGTTTGCTGCTTCTTGAGAATTACAATACCCAAAAATTAAGAAATATTTCCAAGTATCCCTAAGTAAAGTCCGCATCATATCAGCCTCCTGGCCCGCTGCCACAGCTGCTTGCGACGTTGCCGGACGAGAGGCCTCACACAAAGGGTTTAGGGTTTAGGGTTTGTATTTTCCAACGCACACTTCTGGAATCAGAGAGAAAACGCAAATCTGAGACATTGTCAACACTCAAGTGCTGAACGTCTAACGCCACTCAGTTCCAATTGGGTTTCACATTTAACTAGTGTGACAGTTTTTTCTCGAGTTACTCGAGCCGTTGGCGACTGCAAGTAACGGTTGGTGACACGTCCAAACTGCACATGTTTGCAAAAAAAGGAGAGGCAGCAATAGAGCGCGTATAGCACACAGCTCCAACACACTCGCCCTGCTCCCATCCTGCCATTGCTGTGGGCACACAGCATTCTGGCAAATTTTGGCATATCCCGACCGCATCTGCCAGCTATCGCCAGTTGGTATGGAGTCGCAATCGGTATCACCAGGACCGGTTGGATCAATCAACGTCGTCTCCGCGGTGAAACCGAAACCACCTTCCTGGCTCGCATCTTCAGTGTTTTTGTCCAGACATCGGAGGGGATTTGGGTTTAGGGTTTAGGTTTAGGGTTTAGGGTTTAGGGTTTAGGGTTTAGGGTTTAGGGTTTAGGGTTTAGGGTTTAGGGTTTAGGGTTTAGGGTTTAGGGGTTTAGGGTTTAGGGTTTAGGGTCACTACAGGGGATGCCGGACCACGCTTCGTGCAAGGTTTACTACGATCGAACAGGAATTCACGATTTGTCCATGAGCCCTGCCACCGCTGGTCGTTGGCCATATCACCGAATTCCTCACATGCCTTAAAGCTAGCGAAGCAGCTGGGACGGGGCGACCGTCCAAAGCCTCATGGTGTTGAGGAGTGATTCTGAGATCGCTCTCTCTCTCTCTCTCTCTCTCTCTCTCCCTCTTTTTTATTTTCGCCCAATGTCAATTCACCTGTAGGGCTGGCTTTCATGAATTTGTGCATGACTCGCACCGCTTCGCGCGCTTGGAGTTGGGAAGCAGTTTTGATTTCACTTCACTCTTTTTGTTTTCCCCTCGCTCTCTCTCTCTCTCTCTGGCTCCAGATTGGGTCAGCGTCATTCAACAGCGGGACCCAAAGCCCACGAAACCAGATGACCGGCGGACTGCGGGAACGATGGAGAAAAGCGATGCGGGGGACCGAAAAAAACGCGCGCGTCCTTCCTTACCCACTCAAGTCCTGATGTCAAATCCCACAAGCATCCCACGAACAAAGCGCCCGCTGCCTCTCCGCGCGTCCCCGGCCGCTGTGACTGTTGGGTGCCCGGTCGGCTGCGGCTTCGGCTGCCTGACCGGCTAGCCTCGGTTGTCTTACTGTTGGTAGGGAATGAGGGAAAGAGGTACCCCATATCCACCTATGGCCGCCTACATATACCCCCTAAAGGGCTGATATAGGGTACCTCTCATTCCCTCATTCCCTGCTAGCCAACAGTAAGTTGTCGGGGGGAGGTTTGCCGACTTTAGGCTGTCGGGCCCCTTCATTGCTCGGGGCGGCTTGGGGTAAAGGATTTGAAGCCCTAATCCAGTCAAAGTTGAGATGCGAGCGCCTGGCTCGCACGCCTTTGACTTTGACACCAGCGAGCCCTTACCACATACCCCCTGAAGCTGATACGTTACGCTCTGAAGATTCCGTGCAACTGCTCAACACCTCGACGCCTGTACGACTTTGAGGCCAGAGCAAGTGGGCTGCCGCTGGTCACACCTTGACCTTGGACAAGGATTCGCTGATCCCTTTCTTTTGAGGGCCTTTGAGGGATGATACCACCCTAAACCCTAAACCATAAACCCTAAACCCTAAACCCTAAACCCGAAACCATAGGGTCAAAGCTGCTTGCCTAAAGCCCTGAGCAGGGCACTGAGGGCTCAGAGCCGAAGGTGGGCTTGAGGCTTTGAAGGCAATCGACACGCTTGGCGCTCCAAATTTTAGGATGCTAGAGTCATTTGTCTCTTAGAGGCCAGTGCCCCAACTGCCATAACCTTGAACCCTGCGGTTGCCGGTCTTCTACTAGAATCCCCAAACAGTAATCGGACCCATTTTGATTGACTGTATCACTGCCGGGCAGCTCCCTTGCAACGCACGTATCTGCGCCTGACCGCTAGGGCTGGTTCGGGCTTGCAGGAATTCACCACGGACGAGGTGAGCATCAGTTGAGGGCCACATGAAGAGTGGACGTGAGGTGATGTGTAAGGCACCGCCAGATGCAATGCAATCCGGAGAGAGGTAGCAGGTGCGTTGTCATGGCTGTCACGTCACAGCCTCACAGCTTTCTCTTCGCCACAATCCCCTGCAAATGCAAGAGGGCCTACAGCGCACTCTGGCCTTGCCAACACTATCATCCCGCCTTCTCTGCCTGCTCTGCAGCGTTGATTTGCGACTCCTCTTCGTCGATTTCCTGTTGGGGGTGGCCACAAGAGGCGTGGTGCTATCTAGAGCTACCAAAACCGACACAACAAGCGCCGGCAAAACAAACCTAAAAGATATCTAACCCGCGTTCAATTTGTAACATGGCGTGAAAATTGCCCCGTGCATCATCTTGCCGCGTAAGCGGACCACTACCATGCAATGCTGTGCAAGATACATGTTTCGCTTCGGCTTCCTGCCGAGAGGCGTCTTAAACAAGCAGACCAGGATCTGCTCCTCCTTCCGCCCTTCCGCCCTTCCCAACCCTTCCCCGCAACCAGAAACTTTTTGTGTGCCCATCACCTCGCGAACTTTTTTTTGGGACCCTTTTCTGGGACCTTCCCGGAACCCCCCCCTGGCTCTGGGACCCTGAAACCCTGCTAGGACCCTTGCTGGAACCTGAAACGCCGGACCCTCCTAGCACTGCTGCACGCCAGCGGCGTGCGCAAGCGTTTGCAACTGGGCTATGCCATGCCAGAAGACGCTATGCTCTGCTAGACTACGCTGTGCTATACCATACTATGCTATACTGTGCTATGCGTACTAGCATTGTATACAAGAGTAAGCTGAAGCCATTACTTAACACAAGAAGAAAGCTAGAGAGTATACACTACGGTATACAACATGTGACCGGCTTTGATTGACACATCGGTGGGAACGGAAACCCCGAAGGACTTCACTCCCACACCACGTTGGCTTCAAAACGCCAAGCCACAAAGCGCAACAACAGTAGCGATTGCCCAATCCCTAAACCCTAAACCCAAAACCCAAAACCCAAACCCCAAACCCCAAACCGCAAACCCCAAACCCTAAACCCTCAACCCTAAACCCTAGACCCTAGACCCACCGTATCCTACAGGTCATCAGCCGTGGAGCCTGCTGGAGCCGCGCTTGTTCCGCAATGCGCATCTCAGCCTCTTCCTGGCGGCAGCAGAAACGCAGTTTGCGGTTTAGGGTTTAGGGTTTAGGGTTCAGGGTTTAGGGTTTAGGGAGGTTCCACGACGCCCTCATGTTACTAGTTTAGGTAGTTCGTTTGTAGATTTGCGTTCAAAGGTGACTGCGAAAATAGGATGGGATGTTGAGGAAAGGTGCAGCAACACGAGATGACTTACCAACATATGCTAACCAATCGAGCTGATACCCTCCTTGGTGTGTCTAGGAACAAAAAGTTATAGCAATGCAGTGAACCTCGCGTTAAGCGTTCTGGTCTCGAGTGGTTCTGTTTTGTACTCAGCATAAGCGCTAGCAGAACCCTCCTTGGTGTTGCTCGGAACGGCGTAGACAAAGAAAGCCTTTGAAAGCTTCCTTGGGGGTTACTGTTATAGTTCCTACGGTCCTACTTGACATTGAGGTCCAGAACTGAGAGCCTGCCCTTCCGAAGTCTGGCCTGAGGTGTAAAAGTTGCAACACTTGACCCTAAACCCTAAACCCTAAACCCTAAACCCTAAACCCTAAACCCTAAACTCTAAACCCTAAACCAATTGAGACCCTCCAAAAGCCCCCAAGGCAGGGAAGCGTCAGCCCCCATCCCAAACCTTCCAATCCGGACTACTCCTGAAGCACAAGGCCCTTGAACCCTTGAACCCTTAAACCCTTATACCCCTTAAACCCTTAAACCCTAAACCCTAAACCCTAAGCCCTAAACCCCCCAAGAACGCCCGGATCGGCCCGCGGTATGTCGTGGCGCTGCCGAACGACGTCCCAGAGGCCCTGGCCCGCGGCGTCCTGCACACAGAGTTTTGTCTGAGGAACAGCGGACATCTACTTTTGGGGGTTCGTAGAGGTTTAGGGTTTAGGGTTTAGGGTTGAGGGTTTAGGGTTTAGGGTTTAGGGTGTAGGGTTTAGGGTTTAGGGTTTAGGGTTTACGGTTTACGGTTGAGGTTCGGTTGCATTGCAGGATCAGTGGGGTGGGCTGAAGGCTGATCGACAGGGCTTGCACAATGCTTCGGCAACTACTTGAATCATGGGAGCAGGGGGGTTCCCTAAACCCTAAACCCTAAGCCCTAAGCCCTAAACCCTAAACCCTAAACCCTG